CCTAGGAGGACTCCAGATCTTTCTGGTACTTCCTGCGGTGTTGGGCAAAATCATTTGGTTTCTCAGAAGCCCAGAGCAAGGACTGGGGAAAGAGCGGAAAGGGAGGAGAGGCAGGCACTACCTCCTGTTGTCACAGAGCAAGCTCCTGCCACCCCTTGTCTGTGCCAGATGTTGATGGGGACTCCGAGAGCACTTCTGAGGCACCAAACTCTGCCCTTCCTCCGTTCTTCTCTTTGCCTTGCCACTCACCCCCACTGGAAGGCCCTCCGGGCCAAGGGCAGGGTCAGCATAGCCCAAGACCAAGCTGAGTCTCATATGAGCAGGCGACTCACACTGAAAGTGGTTGGGGATCAATTGCTGGGCACTTGGTGAAAACCCCGATCTAGGTTAAGGCCTGGGAAACTGCATCTGCAGAGGCTTACTTAATGCTGCCAGTTGACATACCTCACTCATGTTAAGGAGCAAGAATTTAGCTTTTTTAATCCCGCTGCACATTAGAATCACCTGGGGCATTTGAAGATGAGCAAGTCACCTCCAGACACCAGTCTAATTAAGTTAGACCCAGGGCTTTCATCTTTGTTTATTTTGCATCAAGTGAGACTCTAGGTAATTTACTGGTCACTGAAATGAGGGAAGCCTAGAAATCTTGGCTGACTTGCTTAGGGCCACTGCTAAACTAAACCCACCCTGCTCCCCCTGCCCTCCTATGGATAACAATAGTCTCCCCACCCCAGCCTGTCCTTGGCATGGAGCTGCAAACCTAGGCACTGCATTTGGGGAGCAGGCAGGATGTCTTTTTCTCCATTAGCCTGCATGACATCTTACTACCAGTGCTTCCTTATTTGGGCCAAAGCTGAGTGCACCTCTCTAACTCATCCCATCTGGTACACCATCTTCAGGAGTGGGGCACTGGATAGCTGAGCAGATCCCCGACTGGCACTGCACTGATTTATGGGATTTGGGAGCAGGACAAGATGGGGCAGGGGAAGCTCTAGATACCAACTTGCCTCCTCTTGCAGCTAGGTGAGGTTGATCAGAAAAGAGAGAGGCACTTCTATTCCAGTTAAGGCCCTTCCCTGGCAGTGGAGGTTGAGAGGCTGCAAGTAGGACAACTCAAGGCCCGTGTTCTACCCCCGTGGTACATAATTGTGGCATGTGGTACTTTGCCCTTGGCCAGCACAGCTGTGCTCCAGTGCTTGTTTCAATTCCACCATCCTCTGTGGCTCAGCAGCTTGGGAAATGAGTGGGGCTGGGTCTTAGCTAGGAGAATGAGGCAGGAGGATCATTCGAGGCCTGCTTGGGCTACATAGTTCAAGGCTGTCCTGGTGTACCAAGTAAGACCCTGTCTCAAAAAACAATAAAAGAAAAGAAAAGAAAGGATGGTGGGCAGTTATTTGTGTACTCAATGTCTTCCCTATTCTGTAATATCAGAATCCTAATTTTGTGTAAGGCTGCAGCAGTGCCCAGGCAAAACCTCACCAACCCTGAAGCCCTGCGGCTAGAAGTAGCCATGTGACCCAGCTGACCAATGAGGTATAAGCAAAAGTCTTTGGGCGGGGCTCCTTGGAAAGCCTTTAAAAGGCAGCTGAATTTCTCCTCCTCCCTGCCCTGACTTGGGATTGTGGGACAGCGTATGTGGGGCTGTGGGAGCCATCTTGAGATAATGAGGCTGAAAACTGTCAGATGAGGATAAAAGACGTGTTCCGAGGATGGTGAAACAAGGAGCGGCCTGAGTGCTGCGTGACTTCCCAGAAGAGATTCACCAGCCAATACTGATATGGCAACTTCTTGGTAGGTAAGAAGCATAAACCTTTATGGGGTTAAGCTACCACAGCTGGGTTTCTTTTACAGTGGAATGCAATCCTCAAACTCGGCGGTAAAAAAGATTGGAAATGGGAAACATTGGAAATGGGACGAGAAAGTCAACATAGTCCCCAGAAATTAGGAAAGGAGGCCCTTTTGGTCCTTATCTCACTACAGTTTTCAGTGATTTCTTATTTCCCATGGGATTAAGTTCATCTTCCCCAGACCAACAATCAAAGCTCTATAAAATTAGGTCCCAAACCAGTTTTCCAGGCCTTTTACCCTTTACAGCATTTAATGGAACAAAGATGACCCTTCTCTTCCCTTCGGAGTACAGACCATGTTCTCACCACATCTTACTTTGTGTGTGTTGTTTCTCCGCATTTACAGGCTCACCTATCCTTGGAGGTCTTCTGCAGGGCATATCCTCCCTTGCCCTTCACAGCTGAGGTCCACATGCAGACAGTTTGTTTACACCTTCCTGTTTGTTAAGATTGTGAGATCTTCCCAGGCAGGGTCTTGAGAGGATGGAAAGCACATGTGCTGTGGATTCAGATGCCGAACCTCAGTCCCCTCCTCTGTGAAGGGGTAATAGATGTTCTGGTCCCCAGGGTTTGGGCACAATGACCTCCAAAGCAGGAGCAAAGTGCTCAAGATGTTGACATGTTGCCTGGTTGGCCATCTTTACTGGGCCTTTTTCTTATCCTTCTGGCCCCTTCTGATTTTCTGCTTTGTGTTTCAACCAGAAGATTTGTACTATTTGGGGAGTGACCAAGAACTGTTCTCACTTTCCTAGAAGGTGGTTCTCAGACTGTTGGCCTCATCCTTTAAATGTAATAGGAGAGGAGAGCTCATATCCATGGCTAGGGGTGTGAGATGCCTTGCTAATTACTCAAGGGAGTTAACTAAATCCACTTTTACCTGGCAACAGAGATATTGACTAAATGACCTTATAGTTCTTGATTTTTCTTTTTTGACACTCCCGCATCTGTCTGCAGTAACCAGGCAACCAGATGGTCCCCTAAGCATTGTGCTATCCTGTTGATCTTTCTCTCTCACCTCAACCCCCTGCCAAACACCTGAATTGAATAGAATGATTTCAAGACAACCTAGGGCAAAAGGCCCTATCTTGAAAGTTTAATGAGAAGTGACAGTTTTACCAGTCTGAGTTAAGCACCTATCACACACAGCTTTTAAGTGGGGGTGGATGCATTGAATTGGATGGAAAATAAGAAGTCCCCTTGGATTCAAATAGCATGCTAATGTGAGCTGGCAGCGAAGTCCCAAGGCAGCCTTCTTTGCTTCGCGGGCTTTCACTGAAAGGCACTCGGAGAGTGCAACCAGACGAAAACATACTCTTTCGTCCCTCTTAGGACACAGCCTAGGCTGGGAGAGGGAAGGGGTTGATACAGAGGTCGTGTGGTGGAGAGAATGTGTGCTGGCCCAGCTGCATTCACTTCCTGCATTATCACCCCGTGGAGCCTCCTGAGCCCCAGCCAGAAGCCACCTGGGCCAGGCTGGTGGTACCAGAGCTAAGGACAGTCTGTGGGGTCAGGATAGAGAAGGGGTTGGGAGCTGATAGCAGGGACTTGAACTTTGTTGCCTGTACTCAAAAGAACTCTTCCTGAGCCCTCTAGTGTTCAGTCTGTTTCATTGGTTGTTGCGTGTGTATATTTGGAGATCGAGAACATATCTGTTGTGGACAACCACTTATTGCTTTGTGTCTGTGTGAGTCTGAATAGCTTTTCTGCATTTTTCCACACTTGGGCTAGTAAGTGGGCATGGGGAGATGTGTGTGTGTGTGTGTGTGTGTGTGTGTGTGTGTGTGTGATGCGTGTATTTCCCTCCTCTGACTTTCCCAGTAGAGTAGCATCAGTGACTTTCTCTGGGTCCAGTCAGGTGCTTAGTTCTTCTGTCTTTATGCCCCTCAGAGGTTTGCCACCTGTTTTACCATGAAATGCACTGCTACTTCCTGGCAGAGCCACCCCTTCCTACCAGGTTCTAAGAAGCCTGTTCTGAGCTTCCTGGGGTGCAAGCAGCTCTTGCTCTCTTTCTTTCGGCAGTACTGGGGATTGAACCCAGAGCCTGTGCACTGAGCTATACCCTAACACTCCCTTTTTTAAGACAATATCTCCCTAAATTACTAAGTTGCCCAGGCTGGCTTTAAGCTTGTGATCCTCCTGTCTCAGCTTCCAAGTGTGCTGGGATTACAGGTGTGCCCCACCACTCCTGGTTTATATCTCTCCTTTTAAACCAGACATTGACTGAAGGCCAAATACCAGGGCTGCATGGCCAGCTATGTACTGCTCTGTTCTGGCCAGTGATCAGCAACCTGGCAAGTGGTCTGGTGATGACCTTTGCCATGTTTGTGTAGCTGGAAGGAGTTACCGGGCCTTGGCTCCTATATAAGTTTCCTATTGCTGCTGCAACAAATTATCATGAACTTTGGCAGCTTAACACAACAGATTTATTCTCTTACAAATCTAGAGGTCGGAAGCCTGAAATGGGTTGGCAGGGCTGGTTCCTTCTAGAGGCTCTGGGAGAGGATCCAGACTCTTGCCTTTTCCAGCCTCAGAAACTGTTCTCGTTGACTTGTGGCCTTGTATCACTCTGAACTCTGCTTCCATGGCTACTCCCCCGCTTCACCTTCCTGCTCACACCCTTTATAAACTCTTGTCATTATACTCAGCCTCTGGGTAATCCAGGATCATCTCTCCATTTCAAGGTATTTAATCACATCTTAAAGTTTCTGTTGCCATGTAAGGGACATCTGGGTATATGGACATGGACATCTCTGGTGGGAGGAGCTATCTTCCATGCTGCCGCAGATTTCTTACACCTCAGAGAAAATCTATGAATGTGCATAGATGTGGCAGAACCCAAGCCAGCCTGGTCATGGAGTGATTCTACAGTTCTGGAAAGGCTTACTGAACCTTTCCTCCCTGTGGATACCTCCTGAAGTCCTCCTGTCAGGATAAAGCACGGTCATCTACAGGGACAAAGCAAGCGTGGTACAAGGGATCTGGACATGTTTCCTCACATCAGGGGTTCGTGGCTGATGGTGGCGCATCGCTGAAGAGGAGGCTTTAATGGGAGGGAGGCACCACGTGAGGGAAGGAGGAGCCAGGGAGGCTGGATCAGTCCTAATAAATAATCCTCTAGCATGGGGTTCCCAGTGATGCAGAGAGCAAAGGCACTTAGAAGTAGGACCATAAAGTTTTAATCAAACACAGCAAAATGGCCACAATGCAGAACAGGTAGTGCCTGGAGAAGAGAAAGAAGACCATCTCCTTGGTGACATAGATTACGTGTACAAAGATGAAGCAGAACAGGAACATGGCAAACTGGTTCTGGGGTAGCAGGAGGTCCTGGAGGCCACCTGAGAACTGTGGGGAAAAGAAGACAGTGGAGCTGGGAACACCAGGGCTGGAGTCAGAGAGATCTGCATTCAGTCCTGCTCGGTCCCTTCCTGAATGTGATCTTGGACAGGTTATTGTCCTCACCTAAGGAAAAAAGTAATAGTGCTCCCTTCACAAGATCATGAGGAAGAAGAGGGAAGGAGTAAATGAAGAAATTTCTAGTAAGGTCACTGGCACAACAGAGGGAACTCATTGCTTTCTAGACCTTAAGCCTGCCTTATCCCTCCAGGCAGGGCACTGGGCTGATACCTTCTTTTCTCTTTGTCTCACACAGCCCGTTTGAGTTACATCTGAACAGTTTCTCTCTGTCCCCATAACCCCTGGGATTTGGCCTTTGGGACTTAGGGTTGTTTTCTGAACAGTGTCGCTGATACTCAACCTTATTTTCTGGACAGTGGCACAAGGAGAAGACACACCTTGGATCCGAATGGCTGTTTGTGACTTCCTAGGTCCTGGCATATGTCACACGGGTCTTCAGTGCAGGCAGGTGCTAAGAGATGAGTGATAGGGCTCCCCAAACCCATAGATCCTGGAGCTTAGGGGAGAACAGCTCGAGCAGAACAGCTGATTTTTTCTTCCTATTAGTAACTCTTTTTCTGGAGTCTATGTAACTGGGATCTGACAGATCCCATTTAAACTGTAGGAAGCATTTTTATTTTCTCCTTTTGTAAATCTTTCTCCTTGCTGGATGAAGTAGAAACCCTTGGTGTATAGTCCTATCCACCCTCTAAATAAGGCAAAAGCCGATATAACTGATCTGTAGGAAAGAAGGCATGAGCCATGGTTTATTGTTTTAAGACAGGATCTTACTTTGTAGCCCAGGCTGACCTTAAACTCACAGTGATCCTCCTGCCTCATCCTTCGATATGCTCTGTTTACAGGCATGAAACACTATGCCTGACACCATGGTTTATTTTTTAAAATTTTTAAAGATCACACACATTTTAAAAAACATCCAGATAGCAGGGACTATAATAGCCTGTACTGGTGAAAAAAAATCAAAGAGATATTTTCAGTGCAATGAAATCATTATCCTTCCCCCAACTCCAAAAAAGTGATAAAGTGATAAAGCTTCAAAAATCAGGCAACTCTCCACTGTTTAATAAATGCACCACAAGTAAAGCACTTTTGTAGTAATATTGTTGGAGGTTGAAGGCTTGGACAAATCATTGTTGGAATAGCCACAAAAAACATGATGGCAACTAAATAAAACTAAGAGGAACAGACAATGAATCCTGTCCTGTTCTCTCTAAAATGAATAGCAAGGGAGGTCAGAGGCCAGAGGAGGAGACCCTTCAGCGTTCTCCAGATCCATGTACCTCTCCGGCCCTCCTCAATCTGCATGTGTTTTGGTCTGAAATGCTGAAAGGAGCATAATTACGATTTTAACGGCAAGACATAATTTGTAAACCTCTATGGATACTTTTCAAATTCACTCTGAATCGCTCTGTCTTTTGGGCAGAAGACAAAAGGTGATTAGGACTACACGCCAAGCATTTCCACCTCATCCAGGAAGGAGAAAGATTTCAAACTAAAAGGGAAAATAAAAATGATCAGGAAGAGATAAAGTCCCAAGCTATTTTACAATACTGAACCTACTTTAAATAGTTTCAGGCTCAAACTTGTGACTTAGAATATTGAGAAAACCCGCAAGTTTGGAATGGAATGAATAAGAATTCACAAATTTCAGGAAATGTGCCAGAATTTTAGAAACAGACAGGTATTTTCTATATTCTCCAAAAGAGGGAGAAAAATAGTCTAGAAGTACTAACTCAATAAGTTTGACTTTGTTAACATTTAATACATAGTTAAGCAGGTATTTTATGAATGAGAAGGGTGTGGTGGGGAGGATAATTAAGAAGCCAGAATGAATTCATTGAGAACAAGTTATATAAAACCAAGTCCATTTTCTTAAAACATAACAAATTGGTCAAGAGGAGAAACGCTAAAGGTAATGTAATCTCTTAGTTCTGGGAAAGCACTTCACAATGTATCTCTGGGACAGCATTTTGACCAGGCTGCAGAAATGTGAGCTACATGAAATGTAACTCCGGAATGTTGATTAATGGAACATTGCTAACCTGTAGTGCGATCTTTCAGTGGCAGTTACTTTGGGTCATATCCTTCTCAACAATTATGGCAATGGCTTGGATCAAGATGGACAGCAAACTTCTCAGAATTGAGGATGACTCAGAGCTGGGAAGCAGAGCTAATACATTCCATCCCAATAAAATTAAACAGCGATGAATGTAACTTGCTGCATTTGGGTCAAAAAGTGAATTGCACTAAGTACACAAAAATGGGGATAGCTAACATTTACTGAGTGCAGTGAGCCCAGTACATTAGGTAAGCAAAGAGCTTTACATGTAGCCTCTCACATGACCCTCACAGTGACTGTATGAGGTAGGTATGAACAACCAGGAACTTGGAGGACAGTAACTGGTCCAAGGTTAAACCAGAGTAGAGCTAGGATGTTGACCCGAGACCGTTCGAATTCAAAGCCTAGGAAACACATCTTTTAAGGGTCAAATCTTTCTTGGTTGTTTGATGGCCTGCCTACGGTGATGAGCACTCCACACCCCATTCCGCCTCAAGTGAGCATTCGTTTGTTTGAGACAGGGTCTCACTGTGTAGTTCAGGCTGGCCTTGAATTATGTGTAGCCCAGGCTGATCTCAAACTCACAGTGATCCTCCCTCTTCAGCCTCCTGAGTGCTGGGATTACAGATGTGCCCCATCACACCCGACTTTGGAGGAGGCGTTCTTATCCCTGTTTAGGATGCATGGGGGTTGAGGGTGCCTTTCTTGTGAAAAGACTGCAGTTTGTGTTGACTTCCAAGCAGTGGTCCAACCTCTGTTGGTCAGAGACGCAGTGGTTGTAGCGCCCATTGATGCAGCGGGGTCCTGGACTCATGTAGTCTCAGGACTCCTGTGAGACACAAGAGGGGTTGAGAATGGTAGATACTTGCCCTAAGCTATGGAAAGGGCACGTGGATACTGAGCTATTCTGGCCTGGACACGCGGACCTCGGCTTGACTTGGGAGCTCTAGGAAGGTGGGACCGCGCCTCACCCACCTGGCGGGGTGCCATCTGCTGCTGCTGCAGCTGCGCCATCACCGCCTCGTGGTGCCGCTGCCGCTCGTTCTCTTCATGCAGGTGCTTGAGCCGCACCAGCTCGAAGTCCATGCGCAACCTCTCCAGCTCCACCAAGACTGCGCGTTCCGTCCCTGGGGCCGGGGACAGTTCCGAGGGCTCGGGCGCATCTCCTGCCTGGCCCTTGGTGGTGGGGCCGGACTTGGGGAGCCCTGGGCAGCCTCTGTCTTCACCGGTGTCCATCTCCTCCAGGTAGTCGTAAGATGAGTCCGGTTTCAGGGACTCTGTCTCCTGGGGCACATGTAGGGGCGGAGGGAGTCAGTAGGGGGCAGCCCTTACCCGGCTGCTCCCTAGAGCTCCTAACCACAGTGGACTGGAGTGTTGGAAAATGACCTGGACTGAGAAGATGCAGCCCTAGTGCCCTTGGCCAATTTTACCAGCCCCCTGAGCTCAGAAGAGAATGCCAGCTACCACAAAAGGGTGCATCTAGAGTCACAAGCTGGGCATTGGGGTTGAGGGAGAGATCTGTCTTTCTGCTGATTTTCAAATCACATTCCTGAGGCCCCATGCTTGCTAACTTTAAGATACAAAGGCAACAGAGAGAAGAAGAAATCTAGGGTCTATGTTGGAAGAACCTAAACATGTAGGAACCAAAAAAAAAAAAAAAAAAAAAAAA